GGCCTCAAGGTCGAGCTTCTCAATGAGCTTTCTTTAGAATTTCCTTCTAAGCAACTTCTGCTTCACGCCAGACAGGGCAGGTTTGTTACTGACATGACCAGCCTCCTTTCCTCTTGTACAGTCAACACAAGTATAGGAAGATACTGCGAAACCAAAAAACCAAGGTGCATTACTAATATTTAATTCAGTGGCCAAATCGTTTAAACAGGACCAGCTTAGAAATAGATACAAAGTGTTGATCCACTGCAGTTGAAGCTATAAAATAGGAATGGATATGGCAAAGTCATCTTTCAGAAGGCACCACAATATAATTGCAGCTAAAACCTGACAGTGTAGAATGAGGAATTTTAAGCTGATAATAGTCACCAGAAAAGTGAATAAAAACAAAAGCATTTGGCTGGTCCAAAATGTAATACCAATCAATCCGTCAGCACCTGTGGTTCTTTTACTTACATTCTCTGGTTTGATTTGGTGGTTTTAATACGTTTAGTCTGGTTTTCTTCAGTCATTCTGTCTCTGCTGCAGCAGAGATGGGGCCTGTCCTTCCCCATGACTTAATCGTGGCCTTTCCTCTCCCCCAAAAGCAGGATATAAGCTGTGTCCAAATGGGTTCTGAATTCTCCAGACCCATCAGGGTGAGACAATGAACCGCTGAAAATCACTTTGTCTCCTTTGGGAGGATGGCATGTCTGTAACATTTACGTAGCACATTCTTCTATATACATACACATATGCAAAGCTTTCCTTCCAGCAAAGGTACGTGTGCATGGTGGCAGTGAGGCCAGACCTTTGCAGGCCAAGGAAAGCAATTTCAAAAATGAATTATTTTCTTTGCTTTATTATTTTTACCAAGACAGAGAAGTATTATATTAAGAGATATCTATTTTCATAATCAATGTGTGCCTAAATTATATTTAAATCATTTCACTCTGTACTATATTTTCAATAATTATAGAACATGTTGTTCATCCACTGAAGGGTACCTCTGTATATGTAACCTAAGATCTGCACGTGGTTTTCTTAGAAACCGCAGGGTTCGGGTCAAATGTATGCTGCATTAATAAACAATGTGAAATGTCAGAGAGGAGTCTCTTGTCTTGCTTTTGAAAAAATGCAGCATTACACATACTATGGATTAGTTCTTTGAAAGTGCCATTAAATTTATTTGTTTAGCATTATTTTATGATCCCCTTAAAATCCACCATGCTCACAACACGAAATTTCAAAAAAGAAAAGACTGCCTTCTAAAATTCACTTACTATGCATCACTTATTAGCTGATGAACATTACCATTTAGCTTAATTAGGTTATTTAAATACATTGCTCCTTGAAACATTTTGCTTGACAACTAGAGAGAAATTTTTAAGAAGGGAGGGAACTTAGGCAATAGTAAAACTTCCAGTAGCTTAGTGATGAAACATGGCTATACAGAGAGGCAAAAATGCAGTTGTCGGGTGGGAGGGCTAGAAAAAGTTTTCAAACCTAAGTCAGCTAGATTATCTATGTTGATAAAATTTAGAACCCTGCTGTATAATTGTTTAGAGCAGTATTTTATGTTATGCTCTGATACAGTCTAGTTCTTTCAACTACAGTTTCAAAGAAGTTTTAATAGGAAATAAAAATTCATTTTCTTATGAAGGTTACCATTATAAATCAAGACCTGAATATTTTCTCTAGTCCATTTTATGAATTAGTTGTTTATACTGTAAATCTTCCCTCAAGTCAACTTTCAATCATCTTTAATATATGAAAAGCCCTAGAATGGTATTAATCTCCAAGGATATATTTTTAAAATTAAAGGCACAGCTCCACAAAGGAAAGCAGTTGCTTTGTTTTCCGTGCCAAGCACCCTATTCAGGGTTAATTTCTGAGGCCTGTTCACACCCACAGACATGTTCAAAAGAGCTTCCTGCAGAGGTTTCCGATCAGGGCGAAAAAAGGTTTGCGTTTGTCGTTCAGCAAGATTACTAAGTCATTGCATTGTAATAATTACACGGTGTTTCTTTTAATGCAGAAGATGAAGCCATTTTCCCTCTAAAGCCATACCTCTAACATTTAGGAAGTTTCTATATTTAGAAAAAATTAGATAACTATAAAATCCAATTATTTAAACACAATTGACTGAATGCAGCTCCATGGTAAACTGGTCTGTCCTGGGAACCATGAGAAGGTTCAGAGTTTGCCACTAAACACTAAAATTCTGTTAATTGCATATTCAATACCCTATTTGATGCCATAGAAAATTAAATTTGGTCTTTGCCCTTCATATCTGTGACCTACAACAATACTAATTGAGACTTCAAGGGCATAAAACATACTGAATGAATTCATAGATCATGTGGCTGTATTCATATAAAAATTTCAAAGCATTATTCAAACATTGAATACCAACGGATAGGAACACGCAAGAAATCCAGCCATGTCTAACCAGAGAGAAGTGATTAATCTGGTAATGGGGTCAGAAGTCCAAACCAAAGACCACACTTGCTGATTCGACACTGTTAAGAGGTACATCTCAGCAAACAGGCAATCAGTTGGACAAGGTGAATGAACGGTGTTCAAACATGAACTTCTGTTGCAAAACAGCCTCTCGTTTCCTTTCTATTGTAGTGAGGTGAGAGTGCATTCCTTCCTATCACAGTGGCCCTTAAAAATTATTCCAAGTGTATAAATGAAATAATTAAAATGTCTTAGTCAATCACTTATGTCTTATTTTGAAAAGTTCCATCCTATTTGCAGTTATACTTTAAAGTATACCCCCTTCCCTACCTTGTCCCGACAGCCTATGGAGGGAGGGAGGGACAAGCACAGCAGGACGTGTGTCTGGCCAGGGCAGCTTTGCTCCTCATCTGAAACCCTGGTGAATGCAATTGTTCCAGAGGACGTGGCGCAGTGACTGACTGGCTTAGCGACCTACCCAAGGAGAAACTGCCAGTCCTGGCTCTCAAATGACTGAATATCCAGTTATTTTTAACCATTTCACTATTTATCTAATATATCAATCCTTACAGCCAATTCTACATGAAATGTTAATTCTATATCAGATTAAGCATATCATTGAAGAAATACAGGAAGCATTAGATTTAATCTGGTTAAAGGACCCTTACTTTCTTTTATTCATACCTATACTTATTGAATGTAAACTAAATGCTATGAATTTATTAACAGATGTTCTACCCACGAGTTACAGCCTAGTGGTAAGTTAGGGAAAGACAATTATGTATTCAATAAATGTTGATATTAATAAAGATTAATATATTAATAAAAATAAAATGTTGAACCATTAATAAAGATTAGTGGTTCTCTCTCTTTTAAATAATTGTACTGTGGCCCTGACTGAGATGGCTCAGTGGGCTGGGCATCGCCCTGCAAAGTGAAGGGCTGTCTGTTGGCTTTCCAGTCAGGGCACATGCCTGGGTTGTGGGTTTGGTCCCTGGTCAGGAGCATGCAAGAGGCAGGTGATCAACGTTTCTCTCCTACATAGTTCCCTCTTTTTCTCCCTCCCTTCCCCTCTCTAAAAAATTTTCCTAAAATAATTAAATAATTCTACAGTGTAAATGACATGTCGAGGGGCTCACAGCTGGGTTGAAACATCTACCTATAAAATTTGGACAAGGATATCCACTTTGCAGGAGTGGCAATGATGAGCGAGGTCAGTCTTGCTGACATACCAGGAAACTGCTATTTCTCATCTTCGTGCTCCCACTGCATTCAGCACAGTGATGTGCATATTTTAACTGGATAAGTAAGTATTCACTGAAGTGAGTTGGACTATGGACCCAAGTCTGTCCCAGGTGGTCTTGTGCTTAGTGTATTCTAACTACAATGTTTCTGCTTACTTTTTCGATATCTTTCAAGGCTTTGGAGATAAGTCAAGGAGGACTCTGGTGAATATTAGACTGGGGGATTTTCAAATTCATGCAATATACTTTAGAGCTCTATATGGGCTTGGTATAGTGCCAATAATCACTTGTTATTTATAAACCAGTTCCTTTTACAAGTGAGGAATCTAAGAACTGAGACCAGCTCCCAGGCATCTTCATATCTTTTTTCTATAATTGCTACATGGCCTCCTTTGTGAAAGTTTTATGGGTGCATTTAACATCACTTAATCTAAGACAGCTACTCTCCTGGAACTCTTGGGAGGCCTGTCAATTTCTTCAAGGGAAGCCAGCCTCTCTAGGTTTTAATCTCTTTGAATTGTGGCCTCAGCTATAAAAGTCTTAGCTGAGGTTTTAATGGCAGATTTAAGTAAATTTAACAGCTATACCAGTGGGCGTTCCAATTACAAACACCATTAAAGGGCTTATGTGAAGATTTAAAAAAATACTATTAAAAATAGTCCACGTGTAGTACAATTTACCAGCAGGAAAGATTTCAGTGTCCTGGAAAAGTTTCATATAAAAAGGGGGCTAGGAAGACACAAAGGCATAATATTCAACGCACTCCAAAGGAAGCGTGGCATTCTCTGGGCTCTTTGCTCTCAAACAGGTAAAATGCTTTGTATGTCTAGCATGATTTTTTTAGACTGCATGCTGTTGTCTGTCTACAAGGGCTTTTATATCATATAGACTAACTCCAGGTGTGACGGTGTCTATAGAAACATTGACCTTCATGGTCATTGTCAGCCCTGGCCACAGAGAGCTAGCCTTCGGGGAATGGTGACAGCTCATCGACCAATATTTGATTTTGTCTTTAGTTTCTTCCCATCAAAGGAAAATTAATCTGGAGACTCCTTGTGAAAACTCTGCATGTCATCAGGCAGTCTGAGGCCGCCTTGGCCAGGGAGGCATCTGGCCTGGGACTCAGTGCTTTGAAGTGTTGAGTTCTCTCTCACTCTCCCAGATGGTACAGACAGTACTAATGTATGGAGGACTAGAGGGCAGACGCTCAGCAAAATGTCATTAGTACCTACTGTAGCCATTTAATGTGCAAAAAAACCCCTCTCTTTCTGCCACAAATTTTTAGTAGGAGCTACTTGTCAGGGCAGGTGGCCCAATTCCCTTTATCTCAGGACAATACAGTTGACAAACAAGGACAGAGGGGAAAAGGTTAAGACAAAAAGATGAACTCCATAAAGGAGGAATCATGGAATTTGGGTAACAAAATAAATAATGAAAACAGAAATAGACTAGTTTAGTTTAAAGAAATGATTTTGTCCCCATCAGCTAGAAGCTCAAGGCAAGCAAGTGGGTTCGTGCATTTCCACATCCATGTGAAACCTGCAGATGACTCCCACCTCCATCTTCCATCAAGTTAGTGACACAGTTGTTAGGCTCTTCACCAAAGAGGTTTTTACCTTTCGTTTAACCCAGTCTGCCCCTGTTTTGATTGTTGTATTGATGTTCCTTAGAATGGAGCCGATTCCCAAACTCTTGGCAGGGCTTATCCTGTTGACACTGTGTCTGGTGGGCGGCTCCAGCCAGCACTGGTCCTACGGTTTGCGCCCTGGAGGAAAAAGAAATGCAGAAAATCTGGTGGACTCTTTCCAAGAGGTAAGTCTATCTCACCTTCACAGTAAGGTGTGGCTTATTTGGCTCAATAACAAATATAGTTAGTGACTATGCTAACATTCTCTGTGCTCCCTGAGAGTGTCACTTGAAACTCCATCCTAGGTATGCAGGGGGAGGTAAAACACTCAAACAGTCAAGTCCCACTCCTGCTTTCCATTCAGATGAGTACTAGCGGGGCAAAGAAAAGGAGCGGTTCCCAGAGGATACAGCCACAGTGGGTAGTGCATTGCCCTCAGAGCGCACAGAATTGCCAAAGGGACAACAACCCACCGATGGAGCAAGGCCTCCAGGGCAGGATGACTGAGATTTGGAAATTTTAGGTCTTCTGCTTATGTTTTTTCTTTCTTATTTTAAAAAGACCTACAATTTAGGTCAGCAGCACATTTTTATAACATATAAATACATTATCAAGGGTGCATGCTCTGTAATTTCCTTTTACTAATACGGGTATTTAATAAGCAAAGAAGTCACAGGCCACTAGAACAGATGAGTTAGCAAGTTTAGGGAGACAAAATATGCACTGGAAAACAGGCTGGATTTAATTTCATGTAAGTTAGATTAGTACCAATGCCAGCACTAGCAGAGGCTGCTTGGGTTTTGTTTGTTTTGGTTTTTTAATCTACAAATGTGACTTCTTGGGGTCATATGAGGATTATATGAAGCCATATATGTCAGCAAGTTAATCCAAAAAATGTCAGTGTATTAATAAAAAACAATTCTTCTTATTTTTTTTATAGGACACAAATTAGGCCCTGAACGATGAGTGATTTGGGACTGGGACACTTAATATTGGCCTAGAAATGAGAAACTTAGGGGGGAGAAGCTTAAAACAATTTAGTTTTCATTGGAAAAAAAATCTCTCTTTGTGGGAAAAATAATAAAAGTAATTTAGTAAGAAATAGGCCCCAGAATTTGAAGTCTCCTTTACACAGATTGTATGGGAAGCATCTCTCTCTCTCTCCTTAAAAAAAAGTTATTTATTGATTTTTTTTTTGGAGAGAGAGACAGAGACAGCAATTCACTGTTCCCCTTACTTAAGCATTCATTGGTTGATTCTTGTCTGCACCCCAACTGGGGATGGATCCCATAGTCTTGCCATATGGGTGGGGCTCCAACCAACTGAGCTCCTGGCCAGGGCTGGGAAACAACTCTCATTTAACTGTGACACACTTAGTAAAATCTAGAAAATAAAAATCAACCCTATTCATGACTATAAGCTGTTGTAGTTTTTGTATACTGTCTACTCATGGGGTTTGAAGTACTTCATCTTCCTCATCTTCAGAGAGAAAATGCTCTCTGCCTCAGCATGGCCATTGCCCCCAGGACCTGACCTAGCCAGTGAGAATGGCCCCCGGGGCGCAGACGTTCCTAAAGGCCCCACCCCCATCCCGCAACAGTCTCAGTCCGCGTCCACTGTGACTTCATTCTCCACAGACAATTTTTAGTAGAAATGTAAAACACTTTCATTTACCTCCATCTCTGAGAATCACACTTTTTTTTTTCTTCAGATAGCCAAAGAGGTCGATCAGCAAGCAGAACCTCAGCGCTTGGCGTGCACCGTCCACCAGCCCCGCTCAGCCCTCCGGGAGCTGAAAGGGGCGCTGGTGAGTCACAGTGGTAACGGGAGCGTGGCGCTTAGGACCGGCGGCCCTCGGGCACCACCTTGGCCACTTAGGGCAGCCACCTTTGAACCCTTCCAGGCTCCCTTCCTGACTTCCCGAGATGCCCGAGTCAGGCCCTCACTATCTCATAGTGCCCCCTTTCAGTGGTTGCATAGCACGGAACAATGGCTGGAACCTCTTTTTTTCCTTTCATTAATGGAATTGAAATCACCCTGTAACCTTTATCTGCTGATGTTGGCCCTAGCTTTGGGGATGATGGACAACACGAATGTCTTCCCCCGCTCCATGTCAGTTCTTCAAGTATGTCATATATTCTCCACATTTACACCCAGCCCGTGCACCTCTAGGGACCAGTGCCTGGCCAGTGAGTCTTCCCTTGCTCTTGGTATGACACTGTTTTCCCCAAGAAATGCAGGAATCAAAACTGGCACTCTAGTTCCCTTGGAATAAAAAGTTCCAAACTAGGGATTTATCATTCAGAGCCACATAGGTGATGTCTAGTTTTCTAATTGGACTATCTTGATCTCCCAATTCTCACTGAGAATGGACATAGAGCACCACAATGCAGGCTTTCGATTTTCAGATAAATATATGGAGAACTGAACATAGTGAGTCTTGAAGTCAGTGCTGGTGTTCTCTGAGCCCCCTGGTCCACACACTGGTGGCAGTCAGAAGGCATGACAGTTAGTTATGTCCCACCCAGGGGCAGGGAAAACCTGACTGTACCCCAGGTGAAGCTGGGTGGCAGTTTCCATTTACTCCGTTGACTTGGACTTCCACACCCACGGGAAAGAGAGAAAAGCAGACGGCCGTCTCTATTTGCTCTCTTCCTGCTCACCACATGATAAAACAGCAAGCACTGACGTTTCCCAAACATGATGTTAAACGGAAGGAACTGAAGCAAAGACCAAGTTAACAGCACACTGATAGATCGGACCTTTCTTTCACCGTCTTCCCACATCTGCCCTTAAATTATTGATGCAGATTTTATTATAAGCAACTTTAAAAGATATGATTGTATATCTCTTTAGCACTTTCTAGAACACAAAACAAATGGATCTTTTCTTTCTATATGGATATTTTAGAAATGATGTATTACAAACATAATGAAATTCAGCTAGTAAAATCAACCTTGATATATTTGTTACTCACATATTTTTCAGGAAAATCTGATTGAAGAGGAAACTGAGCCAAAGAAGATTTAAATCCGTGGGCCCAGAGGAATCGACAACACTGAAGTATAATTCTGACTTTCAAATTTGTAACCTATTTAATAGCTGCGAATTGTGTGGATTTCAGACATTCTTATGCCAAGTTGCACACACCTTGTAATGAAGTAGTGCGAATAAAGTGGCCTCAGTGTCAGCTAAGTCTCTAACTCAGACCTCTCTCTGGTGGGGGAGGGACACTGCCAGCCCACAGGGGGTGTCCTCCCACTGTGTCTACAGGGGCAGCCGAGGGGGGAGAGAACACAGAGTAAACACAATTGTTGACCAGGAATGCCATGGCTCCCCTCCACCGACCCCCTCCCCCACCCCGTACCACACGGACAACTGTCCCATATTGATCGGTCTGGGCCAAAAAAAAGCTGATTTAGCTACAGGGAGCTGTGGGATTGTGGCTTCATTCTTCACAGTACCCTACAGAAGGTAGGTGGGGCCATGGCCAAGGCTTCCTCCCCAGACTGCCTCTAATCCCTTTGAAAGTCAACTGGAACCTAAGAGAGACCCAGGCAAAAGGCCTCCTGGGGCTCCTAGTGCATTGCTTCTTCTGGCTCACGTCGTCTCTCCAAGTTCACCAGAGCAAGTGGTGCACTCTGAGTTAGGGGACCGAGACCTAAAAATAACAGTATTCACCTGCCCAATCTTTCTGCTATTTCTCTTGAGAACACTGTGGAGTGTAGTCAGTTGAAGATGGATGTTCCCATGTCCCTTGGTCAAATAGCATTGCCACCGTTCATTCTCCACAAAGAAGGGTGACAGACTTGGTGCTAGATACACACCCATTTTCATTGCCCCTCATAACCACTGAGGAAGTTGCTGCACTGTCTTCCCTTTGCATTACAGAACATGGGGCTCTAACCATTCGTTTCCGAGACCCACAGAACTGCATCAGGCTTCGTGGCTGGGGACTCTGCATTGCAGCCTGCTGAGCAGCCAGTGCACTTGGCCCTGGAAGCTGTTAGCTTGCTAATTGGAGCTGAGACAGGACATTGAGGCTCCTGTGTCCACTTAGGGCCACTATTTCTCTGAGGTCCCAGACACTGTAACACTAACATTTTTCTGTATGCCTCTAACTTCCAAGTGACCCTGAGACCATTGGGACAACTCAAATTTGAGATAACTTGCTTGGTGTCATGGCCACAAATTGTGCCTGTATTCATGTGAAAAAGACCTAGGCCCCTTTCCATCTTTCAGTCAAAGAGATGAAACCTTCTTCCTCTCCTCCATGGCCCTATACCTCTAAAAGGGCAAGACAGGTACATTCTGTGTATATGTAGGGGGAGGACCCTCCCTTTTAATACAAGTATGTATTACCATACAATGTTAGGTTTCCCAAATATCACCATTTGTGGAATGTCTAAAACTCAATCACAGAATGTCACTCCCACTTTAATAAAATTCAGCAGTTGTGGGGTCTATAATCTATGGAACAAAAGGTAAAATTGCATCATTGTATTAATCAATACATATCAGGCAGGATGGGGGGCTCCCAGCTGTCACTTACTCTGTGACTTTTTTTTAAATGATATCATTTATAATCTTTTTATTAGTTTACATATTATAAAAAGAAGGAAACAACTTATTTTGTACATTGTTTGTGGTCTCAGGTTTCCATTGCCAAAGCTTGTCTTTGGGGCATTTTCTTTGCAGCCAGGCGTGGGCCTCCCTGAAGGGGCCACAAAGACGCTCTTTGGGGAGGTCCGATGCTGACGTCAGAGGCCTGGGGTGGCGCCCACTGGTTTGCAGCTGACATACACATATGGGATCCTGCATCTCCAGTGCCCAAGTGACCGAAGGTAAGGACGGGAAATATGATTCCCTTATTAAAGCTGGAAGGGTTTTCCTGAATGTGAAGAGCTCTCTAACTCATCACTATACTTTAAAAAAAGGCTACAGCCTTTCAAAAATAAAAGGAATGGAAACATAAAAAATGATAGATTTAATTAGATGAGTTCTCAAGTATATATGGCTTTAAGTGACAAAGAAACGAAAAGAAGGGATTAAACATAGATGATTTTAACCAAAGTTTCAGAAGTTGCAGTATTCTGGGGATGACTGGGAAGAAGCCAAGAACCACTGCATGAGATGGGAGCGCTTACAGATGCTGACCGGCAAGGTGCTCTGAAAGGGGTGTTCCTCAGTGCGGACCCAGATCCCAAGCCATTCCCGAGTTTACAGATTCAAAATCTGCATTTTTAACAGGTGCCTGGTGAATCTTATGCATATACAGTGCAGCAGTGTTTGCTCTAAGGCAACAGATCGCACTATTTGAAAGCACTGAAACACTTAAAAACCCCTGATGCATAAAGCGAGCACTTCCAACAGTGAAGCTGTCCCAGTGGAAGTGTGGCTGTGTGCCTCTCTCCAGCTGGACCCGCCACCAGTGGGGAGCCTAAGAAACACATCTTGAACACCAATTTTCTAAAGCTGTTATTTCCTCCCAGGTAGTGGTTCTTAACCTTTCCTGACATTGGGCTAACATGGGGAGATGCTCAGTCCCATCCTTGCCCTCAGAAATTCGGATGTCATCGGGCTGGGGTGTAGCATCTCTTCCCAGGGAATACCACTGCTCACCCTAGTTGGATAATTGGTTCCCACCTTTCCATGTAAGTTATTAGGTACTCCCCTTAACCTCTTTATTTCCTTTCACCTCTGCCCAGTTATCTGTGGTGAATGAGTCAAGAAATAGAACCTATTATGTTAAATGAATGGTTATCAGAAAACTGGGCAGCTCAGATGCCAAATGAATGGACAGGGAGGTAGGAGCCAAGAAAGAGCCAGATAATTTGAAGTTTTTATTGCTTCTAGGCAAAGACGACTCTCTGACCCCACAGTACAAGTTTAAATTCATGGGACCCATAATGAAAGGAGGCTAGAAGGGACTCTGCCCTGGGTGTGATGTGTCAAAAGGAGGTGTCAAAAAAAAAGTTCAGGGGTGATTTCATTTCATTAATATATGGATAATAATAAACTAAACACACAATGAACTTTAAAATACATTTCCACTTTTAATTTAAAAAATAAATAATACCAAATCTGAACAAAATTTTTCTACTTCAATGTTCATCTTCCTAACTGTCCATGTTTGAAACCCAAGTAGTTTACAAAACCACGGCAAGAGAGCTTTGGACAAGGTATGAACGAACAACTCAAAACAGGACTGACAGGTGAGTTTGGACAGACCTAGGGGAGGGCAGCTCTGGCTGGGTTACTAAGAATCAGCCTGAAATCATCAACCTGAAAGGAAAAATTTTTCCTTTTGGAGATAACCGGGTCCACTCTGAACCAACCCCAAGAGCAACTTACCTCCTCCAACACAATCCTAAAGTCCCCTCTTTTATGGTGCGCAGACCGGAAAAGCCTACAGAAACTTCATTTCCTCCCGGCTCTCTCTTTCATTTGTTAGAAGAAAGCTGGGGCTGCAAGGGTTCTATAAAAATCATGTAACATACATACATATGTACTTTTATTACATGAGGAAATTGAGGCCCAAGGACTAATAATACATGTTGACTCACCAAAAAGCACACTATTGTTTTTTGTAAATGGTGGGGGTTTTCTCTCCTTTTCATTGTACCCACAAAGGGACAGGAAAGAAGGAACACATTTGAGGTCGATTATGCCTGCGTCTGAGAAGTGGTGGCAGGGGTGTTTGCCACTGTGACACTGCAACCGTCCGCACGCTACGATGTGCATGAGACAGGTCTCAATTTTAAAATAAGAAATGACCCTGTGACCTGGGGTAGCTAGAGGGGAAGCACTGCTGCAGCTTGGAAAGAGCTGACCGAGACGGACTGTGGTCTCAAAACCTGCTTTAGCTCTTGTTTTGTCTCAGGGATTTGCAGTGTGACAGCAGCAGTTTTTAAGGGTCTCCCTGATGGGAAAAAATGACAATTCTGGAGTTGAGGCGTGAGGGTGGAGGGGAGGCCACCCGTGGCCCAGTAGCCTGTTTAGGGCTTCACTTCCCTTCAACACCACGCACTTCCCATCCCACAACACACCACGGGCTCTGCATCCGGGCCTGTTCCCCATGAAAACATTGAACTGCCACAATCTCAGGGTCTAGTACAGTGTCTGGCATTTACTGAGAGCCTAATTATATGTTGAATGAAACAGTTCTTGAAAAAAAATCTCAAAGCAACACAAGTCACCACGACAGGGAAAGATGAGATTACAAAACTATCCCATAAACCAGCATTCACAAAGGCTGTGACGATTTGGGGCTAATTTCACCGTCTGTCAACTATGATCCTTTTCTACCCCATGGCTTCCCCAGGAAACGAACCTTCCAATGTCCCCTGTCATCTGTTGTCCACAAAACTACCTGGAACCCTTTCTGTTCAGGCAGGAGAGACTGAGTATTTCCATAAATGTAGAGAGGGAGCCATATGGAAAATTGTTATATTAAAACAAGCCCTGGCTGATGTGGCTCAGTTGGTTGGAATGTTGTCCCATACATGGAAAGGCTGAGGGTTCAATTCCTGGTTAGGCACATACCTAGGTTGTAGGTTCGATCCCCAGTTGGGGTATGTACAGGAGGCAACCAATCGATATTTCTCTCTACCCCCCTCCTCTGTCTCTAAACACAACAACAACAACAACAACAACAACAACAAAAAACCGTCCTCAGGTGATGATTAAAAAAAGTGGGGGTGGGAAGGCATCTGGCACATGTACTGGGTTCTCCAGCCTCCTATCAAAGACCAGACAGCAGGACTCATATCCACCACGCTGAGGGAACATGCCCTCAGGGGTTTTGGGTGACCCAGTTTACACCTATTTAATGGCAACCTAGAGAGGGGGTGACATACATGAGCCCCCTCCAGCCAGTCTCTGGGGCAATTTCTCACAAGTGGCTCCAGCTCTGCCGGAACCCAGCCTGGCCTTTCTGGTCCTTCTCTTTACTCTCTTCCTTCATTCTCTTGAGTTCTTTCCACTTAAAATCCTCTTCTGTTCTTACTGATGCTGTGTCTCGTCACAAA